GAGTCGGTCAACGAGTACTTAATACTGCGTCTGTTGTACAAATACACACCGAGGCACACTCATCTGGCAGCACTTTTGAAACAGTTCCCACTGGAACTGTTTACGTCGATATTAAAGTGCAAATGGAACCTGGTGCAGATTGTTGATAAGTCAGACGTGTGACCCCTGACACCGCAGAGAGTCGCAGGACCTGAAAAACAAGATACTTTAAGATGCAAATAGAAAAATGTGTGTGTGAGAGAGAGAGGGAGAGAGAGGGAGAGAGAGAGGGAGAGAGAGAGAGGGAGAGAGAGAATTAGCCTAAGACCGTGTGGGCTGAACGGACCAGTGCAATCGTAACATAATGAACTATTATTAACAATTAAAGTCAATTTTCCCTCCTTTGTTTTCATGCAAAGAAGTACAAGTTTATTAGATATTTATGATCATTATTGTTGTTGTTATGTGTTTATATTTAATGAAGTGTAATTGTACAAAAACTATCCTGAACATCAAGTGTTTGTGTTTTGTTTTTGTTTTTTAAAATTCAGCACGTGGGCCAAATTGAACACGCTGGCGGGCCTGTATGGGCCCCCGGGCCGTATGTTTGACACGCCTCCTGGTCTAACAGCTTCCTCACTCGTAGCCATGCACGCAGCATTACTGACAATCAACATTCTAGTGGTATTTAAAGCACAGAGTTTGCGGAGAAACAGTTCCAGGCCCTGCAGGGGGCGTCGCCCCGGGTTTGTGCAATTAGGAAACCACTCCCATCTCCTGTGTGTGTGCGGGGGGGGGAGGGGGGGGTATTATCTGCCCTGCTCTCTGCTTGACTTCCCCTCTGTCACACTGGCAGCAGGGAAAGGCCCAGTGTTTGCCCTGGTGTGTTATTGCCTCGTGTTCAGACTCGCCGAGGACAGAGGTTGAGTCACAGGAACATTCCTGCAGGTGTGTCAGAGCACAGGCACACACACACACACGCACGCACATGTGCCCCCCCTGGTTGCCCCCCCCCCCTTTCATGTGGTGCGTGGGCACCTCTGAGAATGGCAGATGAAGCTGCTGTGCTGCCATCAAGGCTGAGACTTTTGACAGAGTCGTGAGAGTTGTAGCTCGGAGCTGCCATGTCGTCTGGTCTGGGTCTGATCGGGTCATTGACGACGGTGTCGGTTATTAACGTTGTTTCCTGTGAACTCGGCTTTGATCTCCTCACCTTGGTTCAAATAAGAAAAATAACAACAACAAAAAAAACACCAAGCAAACAGAAAAGAATCCTGGTTGCGTGTAAACACCGCAGGTTGATACAGGCTGCAAGACGAGGCACGTTGTAGCAAACACACGGAGGTTTTTTTTTTTTCATCCGCGTTAATATACAAACACTTCAAAGACACTGACTCGCTTTCATTAGCAACACTGTACGACAGCAGCGCTCTCTGATTGGCCGACGGGAGTGCAACCTGAGTGTCTGATGGGTGTTAGCTGAACACAGGTTTGTCTGAGCGAGAGAATGGAAATTCAATACATGTTTTTGGGTGCCCTGTGGGTGTGTGTGTGTGTGTGTGTGGATTTAACCAAAATCCAGCAGGATGTTAAAGAAAAGAGAAGAGAATATTTAATGATGCAGCCTGTGACGTCACACCTCCCACCACAGATGTATGTCGTCCAACACCTCGGTCTATTGAGCACAATGTAAAAAAAATAAAAATATATAAATAAATATATTGGTCTTAGGGAGTGTCTGCCTGTTACTTACAGTGGAGAAGAGAATATTTAATGATGCGGCCTGTGACGTCACACCTCCCTCCACAGATGTACGTCATCCAGCACCTCGGTCTATTGAGCACAATGTTAAAATAAATAAATATATAAATATATTGGTCCTAGGGAGTGTCTGCCTGTTACTTACAGTGTGTGATGGTGAAGAACAAGTTGAGACAAAGAGGCAGCGTCGTCAGCAGTTCTGAGAAAAAGAAGAACAAAAGACAAAAATTATTGGAACGAGAGGGGGAGAGAGAGAGAGAGAGAGAGAGAGACTAGCACAGTGTGTTTACTTGTTTACTTAACTGTTTTAGTTAAGTAAACAAGTAATAAGAGTGAACTCTTTATAGCAGACTGCAAAAAAAAAAAAAAAATTTTTTAAAGAAAACTATATTACAATATATTATATTATATATTATTTACATTTTTTTATTTTTGTCAGTTCCATAAAGTAGCGGTTAGTATGACTGCCTCAGAAACAGAGAGTCCTGGGGTCGATTCCCAGAAAAAAACACATGCTTGGCAGCATCAATATAGTAGATTTTTTTTTTTTTTTTTTACCAAATCACAGACTTTCATCAGATGATGATGATGATCGTTTTTTGTTTGTTTTGGTTTTGGTTTCCTGGAGATTATCTTGGAGACAGACTGAACTCCAGCATCTTTACTTCTGGATCTTCACCCCCCCGTGACGTCTGACTTTGACAGCAGCTGGACTCTGATTGGCTGCTGACGGCTACCTTCACGTGTCGACCTGGTTCCACGAATTGTTCCTGGAGATATGAACTAAAGTGAAACACTTTTCTTTCCTTCTTCTTTTTTCTTTTTCTTTTCAAAAACGGGTGTGTGAGTGTGTGTGTGTGGGAGAGAGAGAGAGAGAGAGAGAGAGGGAGGGGGAGAAAGGGAGGGAGGGAAGTAAAACAGTAGAAGATCATCAGCTCCACTCCGTCTTGTTCTGTAACCACACCCACGGACACAGTTCTCGACACTGCGCCCCGTTTACCTGGTGAAGGAGTTCCGTCTGAGCGGAAAAGGACGAGAAATTAAAAGTTTAACAAACTACAGGAACCGTTTTCCTCTGGTCACCATGGACTGATACTTCCTCCGGTAAGTAAAACATAAAAACGTCTAGAACGTTTTTCTTTCTTTCTTTTTCCTCCCCGTGTGTCAGAGATGAGGAGAAAAGATTCGGTTCTAGTTTAAGTCCAGACTCGTGGTGTTGATCCGCGGACGGTTCGACAGCGTTGGCCGTGAATTCTGAAGTTCAAATCCGAACACGGAGATGCCAGATTTGGATACGAAATCGTCCAAATGACGCACACGTCATGTACGTAAAAAAAAAAAAAAAAAAAAAAGAGGCACGTGAAACGTCACAGTTTCAGGCTCCGCTGATGTATCCCAGAATACCCTCAGTGATTAGTGGTGTGTAGTAAAAAAAAAAAAAAAGTGAAACATTTCCCTCATAAATGTAAAGAACAGGAAACCTTCTCTAAACAAACGATTAATCCAGCGGTGAAAGTTGTTTTTATTCTCCGTGGTTTGGTTTGGACCGAGGCCTTCTCGTCTTTCTTCTTCTTTTGTCTGTTCTGGGGTTTTTTTTTAAGAAGAACAAATGGGATGAAGGTTAGAAGGAAAAAGAGCAGCAAGAAATAATATTTAGAAATGATTCAAAAAGTCAAGAATTCACTGAGAACTGGACGGAAGTCATTTTTTTTTCTTTTCTAATTTTTTTTTTCCTCATTCAAAAACAGATTCTTCAGATCTTCAGATCAACTCCTAGTGGTTAAAAAGGGCCTTTTCAAATTTTTTTTTTCCCCATTCAAAAACAGATTTGAAGATCAACTCCTAGTGGTTAAAAAGGGCTTTGTTTGAAGAGAGATTTGATTGACAGCCGACAGACATGGACTGGAAGACGTTCCAGGCTCTCCTCAGTGGCGTGAACAAATACTCCACAGCCTTTGGAAGGATATGGCTGTCCGTGGTGTTCGTCTTCAGAGTGATGGTGTACGTGGTGGCGGCGGAGAGGGTTTGGGGCGACGAGCAGAAGGACTTCGACTGTAACACCAAGCAGCCCGGCTGCGCCAACGTCTGCTACGACTTCTTCTTCCCCATCTCCCACATCCGCCTGTGGGCGCTGCAGCTCATCTTCGTCACGTGTCCGTCCTTCATGGTGGTCATGCACGTGGCGTACCGGGACGACCGCGAGCGCAAGTACAGGGCCAAGCACGGAGATGAAACCAAGCTCTACAAAAACACGGGCAAGAAACACGGCGGTCTGTGGTGGACCTACGTGATCAGCCTCTTTGTCAAAACCGCCATCGAGATCTCCTTCCTCTACATCCTCCACTGGGTCTACGACAGCTTCTACCTGCCCAGGCTGGTCAAGTGTGAGGTGTCTCCCTGTCCAAACCAGGTGGACTGCTACATCGGCCACCCCACGGAGAAGAAGGTCTTCACCTACTTCATGGTGGGGGCTTCGGCTCTCTGCATCATCCTGAACATCTGCGAGATCATATACCTGATCTCCAAGCGCATCGCACGGTGTGCCAACAAGATCAAGATGCGCCATCGCAACATGGCCGTGCACCACGACGACTACCGCGACGAACCCTTCAACAACTGCAACCTGCGGTCGTCCAAGCTGGAAGAAAAGGAAAAGCCCCCTTTCTTTAAGGCCACCGCTTACGCCCTGCCGTTCGCACCCACGCTGAAACTCCAGGACAAGATCCGCGCTTCGGCTCCAAACCTGACCATAGAGTCATGATCGAAGCCTGAAATCAGAACACAGACTGGGAGCAAAGCAGTGTTGGAACTAGACTCTGGTAACAGACTGAACCTTACCAGTCAAAACCAGAAAAAGACCCTGACCCTGAGTCGGTCAGTGGACCTGGACTCTTCTGGTCACTGCACCACAGCATGAACCCTGGTTTCTACGTCGACATCCACAATTTTTACAAGTCACTTTTTTTTAACCAAAAATGTAAGATGTTTTCTTTTGAATACAACAAAGAACTTTGTGCCTTTTTATCGTCACAGTTTCCCTTCTGTCAGACTGTCCAATGTTCAGTTTCACCCTTTCCGACATGGGGAGGAAATGAAGCCGCACATTTGAACTCAGGACACACCTGGCAGAAGTATTCCCCCCTCCCTGCCTACAGTGTCTTCTATGAGTATTACGTGTAACGTACATTCCAATCATCTCTTGTTGAATTTACACTGAAATGACTTCTTCATGCGACAGCTTTGTCGTCCACATGATCTCAAGTGTTTATGAAAGACAAACAAGTTTAGTGCTGGAGTGCAGACGCTCCCAACGCCCTGGACTTACGGCTGGTTATTACTTGAAAACGTAGAAAAACTGGCCAAATATGACTTTTTTTCTTTTCTTTTCTTTTCTTCTTGAAAAGTTACATCCTGTAAATCAATGTATCATCAGCGTATTTCTTTATGTTTGACACAGTGTAGAGACAAGCATGCTCTCAGGTTTTGTGCTCAGCCACAAATTATACATAAAAATGTACAAATATAAATATAAACAGCCGGGTTCATTAGACAAACTAGTCTGGGTAAAAAAAAACAAACAAAACAGAGTTGACAGAGTGGGCAAATAGAACGCTGCTGTTTAACTTTGTTTCTGGAGCTGGAGCAGAGTGAACGAGTCAACACGACACACGCAGGTGTGTCATGTGACCGCGTGAGTCTCTGACCCTCCACTGTACATGTCACATGTACATGCGTATGCTGCACTTGGTATATTTTTTATAAATAAATTAAGTTTAAAGATATTTGATGAAGTGTTTGTAGAGTTTGTCCTGTTGTTAAAGATGGTTAATTTATTAGATTAAAATCTCAACATTTTTTCCTATTGCTGGACGGTTGAATTTACGCCAACGTTGCTGGATTATCTGTTGGTACATACTCATCATGACAACTCCAGTGTCCAATGAGTCAGCCATTTCACCAATGTTTCTCAACCACTGTGTCGCAGCACCATAGTGGGCCAGAAAACTATTACATCATTTCTCATTGTTTGTCTAAGCAATAGTGACAGGCAGAAAAATGTAATTCTCCTCCACTAGGTGGCAATTTATGGCTTAAAAAATAATAATAAAAAAAAAAATCCCGAGACATTTTAAAATCTTTGTGCATCTTTCTTCAATTCCTCTGACTATATTAGTGTTGTGTTCAACTAAACAGGCCCAAGTTTCACATCGAGTGATTTGAGTAAATTTAAAAATCAAGATTACTTTTTGTGACAGTTTTGTTTGCTTGGCGCACCCTGGGATTTGTCTAACGCAAGTGTGAGATCAGCAATGCTAGTTTAAATGATCCGTGAATCATGGTGACGTGCTGTTTTTCCATCATACATACATCAGTTTCTGTGTTGCAAAGTCTCGTAGTCAAGAATCTCAGTCGGCTTGTCAGACCCGACAGTCAGGTTTCTCCGAGGTGCGGCCAAGAAGAAGGTTTTGTTTATCATGAATCATTTCCTCAACAAGGTCTAAAAGGACCTGAGATGATCTGACAGATTAGATCACACAATTACACACAATTAATTAGCTCCCTATACAGTCAAAATGTGATTTAATGGTTATTGTGCTCGTTTACACTGGTACAATATTTAAAAAAAAAAAAAACAGCAATAGGAACTGTCCATTAAAAAAAAAATGGGGAAAAATATAATGATTTACATTTGAGGCCAAACACTTTAATTTATAGTAATTTTTATTTTAAAAACTCATGATATAATTATTTTACAGTGATTTTTAAATAAATACATTAAACTATAAATCCTGTGAATGTAAAAACTAAATCTGCACTTTCACATCATTTCATCAACCAATACAATGCCCCAGTTGGATAATTATATGATGGCTTTTCAAAGACGGTCCAGTGACAGATGAGTACTCCGAGGTCAGACCTGATCAGAGGTTTAAACACTTCCAGAGTTTGACTTCCATTCACTTTCTTTTTTCCACCATCTTAACAATGATAAACAGAAGAGTCCGACTGACCTTTCATAAGGCACTGGTCCAGCTGCGCGCTTTCATGTAGTGATTATCTCATCAAGTACTCGGGTTTTTAGAACGGAAATAAAAGGAAGTCAGTACCATCCCAGTACCACGGAGCGGAGGACGCTGCGGATGCTGACGAGGCTGCTCTACAGTTTGCAGGACGCCTGTGCCACTTTGGAGTTGGTTTTTCTGTTCAGGATTCGGCAGATGAAAGCTCCAGCATTCATCAGCTTTGACATGTCCACCCCCTGGAGTCGGGATGCAAAAGTCAAATGGTAAGACTCAGACGATACAGAACAAAATAGAACCAGGGTGACTAGTTGCCCCTCTTAGAGGTTTGTTTGTGTCTGTAATTTTGTCCTAGATCCAGATGAAAATCTTACTCAGGGCTCTAACAGACGTTGGTTAAACCTGTGGCTCCCGCTGTGCAGCTGAAATCCTCAGGTACACAGTGGAAAAGTATTTTGTATTTACTGCAAATGGTTTGTCTTTGCAGAACAATTAAATACCCATCCTGTAGGTGGCAGCAAATTGCTATAAAAACTAAAATAACTTGAGAGACTCAGAGCCGATGAAGAAGATCTTCGTGTGTGTCTTATTTCAATTCCTACAAGTGTATTAAGTGTTGTGTTCAACTAAACAGACCGGAGTTTTACACAGTGTGGGTAATTTGTGAGTAAAATTTAAACGAGAAGATCATTATATTTCATTACACGTTTCGTGCTTAACTTGTATTTGTATATATGTATTTCCTTTTTTTTACTCTGACCCTAGGTGTCCCACGTCGCTCCACTAAAACAATCTTTTTCTCACAAGTTAATGATTTGGATCCACTGTACAACTTAATATATATTTATTAAAAAAAATCATATTGTAACTCAGGCACAATTAGGAATTAGCAGCGTTGAAGTCAAGATGCCAAAAAAAAAAAAAAAAAAAAAAAAGCTAAAGAACCCAAAGGAAACGTGTCCACATGACTCATTTCAAAAGTTGCTACAACTGCTAAGTATGTCAATGCTATCTGTGTATCAACTGACAACACAACAGTGCAGGACAGTGTTTTCATTACAACATTTTGAACCAAAACTGTTTCGGTTCATCATCCAAAAAGTCACAAGTTAAAGAGAAGATTTTCTAATTGCGATGACGACATAAGTTTAACTTCAGCAGAAATAAATTTAAACTGTAATTATGATTTGAAACAAATTAAAATTTAATTATTTGAATTAGCAGAGTTAGAAATCCAAGGTCAAATGATAGGTTTCACCACAGCCTTGGCTGAGACCAGCAGGTTATTATGGACTAAGGTTGAAGGCTACAGGCGTAATGGCAGGTACTGTGGTTGTAAGTCAACACCACTGCACCACATGCATCAAACTGAATGGCCAAACTACCAAACACCTGAGAAACCAAGGAGAAATAATGCCTGGCATCTTACCGTTTGAATTCCAAGACCGTGCAACATGTAAACGACATCTTCGGTGGCAACGTTCCCTGAAGCCCCCTGGGCATAAGGACAGCCTCCCAGTCCAGCTACAGACGAGTCTACCACACTGATCCCCATCTGTGGAGAAATAAAAAAAAAATTCTGTTATGTTTCTTTGCTTCATCAGACTTTCGAATGTCTAAGAAAATTAAAACTGTGTTTGAAAACTGACCTGTAAGGCTACAAGAATGTTCGCCAAGGCCTGACCATAGGTATCATGACAGTGCACTGCCAGAGCATTGAGTGGCACCTCTCGAGTCACAGCTGCCAACATCTGACTCATGCTCCCCGGAGTCCCAACTCCAATGGTGTCACCCAAGGAGATTTCGTAGCAGCCCATGGAGTACAGACGCTTCGCAACCTGAAGGACGGGAATACATCTTCACAGTCAATAAAAGGTTTTTTTTTACATCAAGGATTTGTCGGTCGTCTGGTCATTTTTAAGTTAACTAAACAGAAACTTACATGGGCGACTTTTTCAGGCGCTACCTTGCCTTCGTACGGGCATCCAAGAACGCAGGACACATATCTGCGTATCAACAAGATTTGTGCATGAACATAGACTTCAGGAATGGAAGTATGATACAAAACAATTGTATCTAAGGATGTCCGATATTATTCGCCAATCAATATTATTGCCAATATTAGCATAATTATAGGTAATAGGCAATAGGCAAGAATCAATATCATTTTTTTACTCCAATACCAAAAAAGGAATGATGCAATACCTGGGTTTCACCCAGATGATGTGACATAAATAAATTGGTATTGGTTGATATCAGAATCGAAAATTCAGTGTTTGGACAATATTGGCAAAAAGATTAATATCAGACATCCCTAATTGTATAGTTTCTTGTAATTTCCCGTACCCTCTGACAGGCACACAAGCCTCTCTAGCTGCTTCCATCACCTCCTCAAAACGCAGCAAACTCTCGTCCACAGAGCAGTTTATGTTCTTCTTGCTGAAAAGCTCAGACGCTGCACCAAAGATGGCGACCTCTTTAGCTCCTGCTGTCAACTGCGATATAATACAAGGTAGCGTTTATAGTCCAGTATTTGTGACGTGGTGATGAAGTATCGTGCCGATACTCACAGCAGCCTGGAAACCTTTGAGGTTGGGTGTAAGGACGGGGTAAGTGACTCCGGGTTTTCTACAAATCCCCTTCATCACCTCCACCTGGTCCGCCATCTGACATGAGGTGAGACCACGATAAAAAGAGGAAGCAGTTAGTGCTGAGAAAAGGGGAAGCTTGTTTTATTTTAGACATTCTCGGCACTTTGTATACGAACTGCTACGACAGCAGACCCACCTGTGGGACCCATTTTGGAGAAACAAAACTGGTGGCCTCGATGACCGGCAGTCCTGACTCGGACAACAGGTCAATCAGCTGGATTTTGGTCTCTGTGGGCACTAGAGTCTGAGAGCGGGAACAGAAAAACAACAACAGGAGACAACAAGATTTTAAAAACACCAGGGAGGTTCATTATATTAAACACAAGCCCTCATCAATGTAACTTTTGTTATTTCTTATGCTTCAATAAACCAGAAAACGGCTTCAAATTAGAGATCGATCAAAACAAAAATCACAAAAGTTTTCAAGAAAGTCCATGAGAACTAGCAAAGTCCAGTTAAGCTTAGGCTTAAATAGTCTTTAACTGTTAAGTCAACAGGAAACAGCAGCTAGGGAGGAACTGTGGGGAAGAAAGTCAGAAGTGGCAGAGAGGTATGTGAGGGTGATGCAGGTGAAAAGCCATTGTGACAGTAGTCAGGTGTGCTGTCAGAGTGAGTACAGAAGTGGAAAATCCACTTGACAAATACCACAATATGAGTTTGAAATTAATCTTATTGCAGTTCTATTCATAATGTGGATTATTTTGATTATTCCAACAGTACAGCCTCTTAAAGCTAAAGAAATTTTAACAACTGTTGTTGTGTGACGTTAGCTAACATGAACAGAGAATGTTAGCTTTAGGCTCAGTTAAGGCCACGAGACCAGAGGGGTGTTTTTTTTTTAAGTTTTTAAGGCCTCAGGATTTACAAGTCCAAGACAAGAACATGCTTCAGACTTTAGTTTCCTGATGTTACCAACAAACGTTAGAGCAAACACAGTATTTGTTACAAAACAATTCGTTATTTTTGTTTGCTGACACTGTGGGATTTAAGACAATAAACTATTAAAATATACATAAAAGTAGAATAACTACGACATTACCTTCTCGTTCTGAAGACCATCCCTGGGGCCCACCTCCACTATTTTTACCCTCTCTGGAAGTGTTTGACCTGCTCCGACAGCAGACTACAACACACGCACACGAGCGGGTAAATAATAAATAATTACTGATACTTCACTTCTATGAGTAAGAACAGTTTAATCAAATTAACTCACTGCTCGGACGTTCGCTGCAGCGCTAAACGCCAGGTACTGGTGGCCCATAGCCGAAGTGAAGCTGCTTCTGTTGACAATCCTCATGACGGCAGCCATCTTGGTCCAGCCACAGGACAGACTACAGCGCTTCTTCTACAGCAGCGGCGGAGTCACACACGGCACACCGTCGCCATCTGCCGGACGGAGAGCAGAGTTGCTAAAGTGGTGGACTGGCCTCGTCTCAACATACTATATATATATATATATATATATATATATATGTATATATATATATTTATGTAGTGTGTGTGCTCTATATAATATATGGGGGGGGTTTTTATTA